ATGATATCTATATAAAGGGGTAAACTAAAAACTATATAAAGAGGTATCAGCATCTAAATGACATCACAGTTGACCATCACAGTTGATCATTGCTCAGAAAGCTTTGGAAAACAGGGAAAAACCATGACAGAATTTACAACATATTGCCACCATGCAATAGTTGCGATAATGTGACGTTGCTTTCTCAGTAACAGCAAAACACATAGACGTTGGATGTAAAATAATTGATATCTTAACGGTGGAAAGTTTACCATTGACGAAACGTACCTGGCATTATATTGTCGTATTTTACGGAAATATGATTGTCTCTATCTGGCCTGCTGTGCTCGTGAAAAAATCCTAATGAGTGAGCCAACTCGTGTACAATGTTACCGTGTTTGCACGTTACTGATCCATCCTCAGAACCTACTGAGATCGTCTGCCTATTTCCAATTTTACCAACGTATGATGAACATCTAAAAAMCCCATGAAAAAAGGTCTATCAGTGTGCCATATGCGGTGCTGAGTGAATGGCGGAGTGAATGGAGAAGATAGATTTCCAGAAATCAAWTAATGATATGATACATACCCGCCATCATAGATAAATTCAACGTAATCGTCATCCGATTCTTTTTTTGGTCTTAATTTTACGCAAGTCTTCTCCTCCCATTCTTCGATTGCAGAGCGAACATAATCCTTTGATTCGTCACCTATTTTTTAATWTGTGTAAAGATTAGTGTGTGATGTTTGAATATCAATTCGTTGTTGACAGCTGGTTGGTTGGTAGATCACAATTGTCATGGTCAGCAGTCAGTTAATTGACGTTCGTTGGAAGGATGGCTGGGTAATTGACATGCACAGTGCAAGAATTGTTGGTTTTAAAGACTCTGAGAATACATACTCAGTTSATCGTTTATAACGTAAGGCACTTCGCCATTCGGCCACAGGCTTTTGACGTCTTTCATTAACGCTCTCTTTTGAAGACCGTCGTTCTTTTGACTCTGTAAGATGTAATCACTCTGCTCTCGCGTCAGAAGAATATCTCCTTCAAAGAAATCTCGACCCAAGTTCAGTTCTCCAAATGTTGCTAAAAATGGAGGTTTCTTTAGTATAGTATAGACTGGGAGTAATATTAATTTTGAGTGGTTCATTTGTGARGTTTTTATGGTTCAGAATTTCCCACTTCAGTGCCACTAGTAACACTTAGCATCCAAATATAATAATACATTTTCCGGCAGAACTTAAGCTCATGTTCACTTGGGCTGTGAATGATCATCTTTATATGCAATGGTTTAGTGTATGATCGGTGTACCAAAATTTCATGCAAAGGTTGCACTTACATTTATAAGATTCATCATAGTTTTCAGTGATTGCAGGATCAGCAAGTATGTGATGAGTTGGTAGTTCCTGCTGTTGGTCTTGCTGTCCCGTTAAATAATCACTATTTTCTAAAACCATTCAAATCACATTAGAGTTAATCTAACAATACAAACTAAGATTTCACTAAAAGAGAGGCGTAGCGATACGTTTTGCAAGAAAACTAAATGCTAACGGTCCGATGTAAATTAATGAAAGCAAACAAACAAATTTTATTGACAGTTATATCCATGTGACAACAATCTTGTGGAAGTTTGTGCATTTCCTTGGACGATACATGTTCTTGAAATGGCATGTCTTTAAATATTCTTGGTTCTCAGGTGACGTCGGCCAAGTGGTACTTCAATGATCAGTTCTCATAATTGTCAACCTGGCCGTCAGAGAAAACCTGTAATAGTTTATTAACTTACGTGAATTTGCTAAGGATATCATCACCAAGACGACGACAATTGTATGCATGATGATCTGAATATAACAGAGGAGAACTAAAATTACACAGGYATCCCAAGCCACTATGGCACAAAGAGTCTGTTTGAACATGTGAGTTRCTAACTATGGTTTGAATRAAAACTAGACTAGCAATGTATCATAAACGTCAGGGCTTCCAGTTTGTACAGATGTTTGTTAGAGAAACAACGGCAAAAGAGTAATATATCTTATGAATATATAATATCACTGAAATCTTTGATTTTTATTCTCTTACAATATCGTGTATTCATAAGAATTATAATGATAGTTTTTGTTGAATATGAAATGGTAAATCTATTATGCTTATATGTCTACACTGACAGATTCTCTAAACAAAATTGAAACTTTTAAACAAACCATATTTAACGAGAAATCAACATATGATCATATGTTCTTCTTACCTTGTGGAATATGTATTTTTCCTCAAATTTAGACCATGAACAATACAATCTAAAGAATAAATTCCCTATTAAGTTAGAAACACTATTCTACCAAAGATTTTTCATCAAAAATTGTTTTTTATAAAAGTGAATATTTACGTTAATCTTTCAAGAGGAAAGACGTAAAAKACCGGTTGTTTATCGCTGATTGGACAATCGAATGATTTTTACGGGTACATTTTAGCCATGTCATTGTCGTAAAACTCTTCCACCCATATATGGATGAATATATTAATACATTATTACTTACGTGACAATGGCATATTCGGTGCTGTGACTGTCTGCATTTGAATTTAACATGTTTATTTGCCCATATATATCATCATTTTATTCAAGTTTTATTTAGATTTATATATTATCTAAAATACTGTATTGACACTCCATGCGTGAAATACTTGTATGAACCATTAACGATTGATTAAGTAATTGATATACCGCGGTAGTGTAACTGTTATAAATATCACATTTATGTTAAGTATTCAAAAAGAGACTGGGAACGAGTGTGAAAATATTACATTCATCGAAAACTGAACCTCACCACATGAAAGACCACACTAAAATAAGTGTTCTTGTCAATTTTGAGCATATTTGGTTAAATATTCACCGAGTAGGGATTTTTTCATTCTTTGTAATTTTTTCGAGTTTTAAATGCTTGAAACTCTGTAATTATTAATCCGAATACACTCAAACTCAGCAGCTATACTAATGTTTGTATTTCTTGTCCTGGTGTCTGTTTTTTTGATTTCTTCAAACAGTATCGAGTTTGTGACTAGTCACCAGTCCCTTTTTGAATTCCGGAACGGGCAATAGTCGCATCAATCGTTATTTCAGTCCTAATATAACCTTGTGACAGTTATGTAAATACAACGTAACGAGCAGAATTATTAAATTTAAGATACATTTCTTTATCACTGCGGACAAAAATGATTGCAAACTGCTAGGATTTGATTGTAATTGACTCATATCTGTGCGTCCTATATAAAAGTCCTCATTCTTTAATGGAATAACTTTGTAATATTGTTATACAATGGTTGGAGAAGAAGTGCTGTTACTGGTGTTGCTGTCTCTTGTTCCTTACACTATCGCTAATCACTATGAACTCCAAACCTGGCTGGATAATAAGTTGGGTTTATTTTGTATTATCACTCCCTTGATTGGGTGTTTTTCAGGTAGAGTAGTTGAATTGCTATCCCAACACTATTCTTTTGGTTATAAAGTATTTGGTGGAGTGGTACCTGCAATAAATCAATGTGTAATTAATTAAGATTTTGGTTAATCTCATAGTATTGTTACCCTTTTCATGACATGGCGTTACTTTGGTAGCAATCAGAAAACCAATGATCTTATTGTTTAGCAACCGTTGTCGTAAGCATCTTACGGATACCGTTACCATAGTTACCGTAACCATAGAAATTGTTATTGTAGTTATTATCAATGTAATCATTATCACTGTACTTTCACTGACCACAAAGTTGACAAGTTTGACCGCAGGCGTGTCTCAGTGTACGTGGGAATCTTTCACAATAACCAAACGACTTGATCTTTAAGCATGCCTTATCATCGTATCTGTCTTGGCATGACCCTAGAGCTAGAAACACAGATACATATTATTATTATATTGGCACGGGACCTATAGAAATACCTATACATTATATTGGGTGTAAACCCTAGCTAGGGTAAGGTTCTCATTTTTTATTCAACATTTATAAATCAAATGAGCTAAATTACATGTACAGACTGCAAATAC